AATCAGGTGTGTTTGAGACAACACCTGTTTTGCAGATATGTGCTGTTGTGAGGGAATATATTCAGAGGGTTGAATAATTTTGAGACTGCAGAAGTCATTAAAAGTTGTATTTTCAATGGAATTTGGGGAAAGCACTTGTAATATTTGTGGTGTTGAGCTATTTCAATTACTTTTGATTGATTTGTCTTTTACAAACAGCTGAAAGTCTGTAAATTTGGCACGTGATCCGATCAAGAAGATCAATAGCCAATCAGGACATGGCGCGTTTACATCTGTTCACATTAAGTAGCCTCTGTGTGGATAACCGATTGGATTTGTGTTTCCTGAATAATATTTAAATTAGGTCTGTGGCACGACACCAGATTAAGAGTAAAGATGATACCAATTAAACAATTTACCAATTGCTTTCACTCACTCACTTTCCTGTGCAATCTCCAGTCTTAGATCAAATTTTTGAATGAAGGAATACTTCCTGAGTTGATCATACAAAAATAACTGGGTTGATCATCATAACAAGTCACATTGTGCAATAGTGCAATGACTATATTGACAGAAATGGGAGATTGATAAACATGCTGACACAATAAAAACATTCAACATTTAAAACATAAAAAAATTCTGATTCTGATTATTCCTCTGCAAAACAGACAAGATGAATTCAGTATCCTCGACTACCTCAGAGCCTGGACACTGAAGTGCGTTTACACGTGTTAACAACATCCTGATACAGGTTGCATGTTAATGCCAAATGTAAATGCAGCCTATGTTAACCGATAATGGTCCAATATAAAAATTAAATATTTTGTCTAAATAATTCAACAGTAAAACATTGAAGTAAAAATTATTCAAAAGTAAAGCATTAAAAACTAAAATTAATAATTTTATCAATGTTATCAATACTAAAAGTAAATAGGCAACACTTATAAATTATTTAAACAAATTAATATATCATTTTATTGTACATTATGTAATATGGATATTCACTTAAAGATTACATTTATTAAGCTAGTCTTATTGCATTATGGTCTTTTTTTAAAGATTTACTTTAAGTGAGTGTTAGATGACAGCAAAGGTAATCTAAAAGCATAAATAGCTGAAATGAGCATGCACAAATAATATTCAAAATGTTTCAGTCACTCTGTCAGTCAACACAGGCCAATAATTGATATGGTACAGATATATGGTGTATCCCTACTGTTTACTGTCCCAAAACATATCACAATGGCCCCTTCTTATCCCTACCTGAGACAGATAGTGGACTGTTCATTTAAATGTGGTAGGTACTGAATGTTTGTAGATGATGGAATAAAAAGAAAGCAACTGATCAAAACTTCAGATTGTTAAGAAAGAAATCAAGCATTGGTTCAAGTCACGCAACCTTGCAAAATGAGGATAGAAATCTAAGAGCATTACTAAAAATGACATTGCTTTGTCTCATTGCTCTGCAACATTCAAGAGGTCCCTATATAACTCTGTAACCATTGTCAGAAACCACTACAAGTCTCACAACCAGATATAGGAAGGCCATAACATTTACAAGGGTCCGTCAAAACTTAAAAAGGAGGCCTCCCATTAGTAAAGCCAGGTATTTCCTGTGGATGTGAATGGCCTTTTGGCCGACAAGAATAAACCATACCTATCTGAAACAGCTTAACTGGTCCAGTGACCCATCTGTCCACAGGTATTTTAAAGGACTAAAAAGACTGGTTCAAGTATGTCTTTCAGACCTGACCAGATGGATGGTTGGCACTGAGAATTTACATAAACCATGAAACAACTAAAACTGAGGCACGGCTAAAAAAAAATCCAGCATTTTCAAAGCCCATAGGGTTGAATACTCAACTTATAGTGATTTCGACAGTTATTATAGCAAACTGCTAATCCTTGTTCATGTTTAAGCATGTTGTGATGCAAAAAAAATTGAATACTATACAGTGTAATGTAATTTGCTTTCAGAAAGAGTACACACCATCACTATAGCATACATATATATATATATTTATATATATATATATATATATATATATACACACACACACACTCACCTAAAGAATCATTAGGAACACTTTTTCAATTTCTCATTAATGCAATTATCTAATCAACCAATCACATGGCAGTTGTTTCAATGCATTTAGGAGTGTGGTCCTGGTCAAGACAATTTCCGGAACTCCAAACTGAATGTCAGACTGGGAAAGAAAGGTGATTTAAGCAATTTTGAGTGTGGCATGGTTGTGGCATGAGTATTTCACAATCTGCTCAATTACTGGGATTTTCATGCACAACCATTTCTAGGGTTTACAAAGAATGGTGTGAAAAGGGAAAAACATCCAGTATGCGGCAGTCCTGTGGGCAAAAATGCCTGGTTGATGCTAGAGGTCAGAGGAGAATGGGCCGAATGATTCAAGCGGATAGAAGAGCAACTTTGACTGAAATAACCACTCGTTACAACCGAGGTATGCAGCATTTGTGAAGCCACAACACGCACAACTTTGAGGGGGATGGGCTACAACAGCAGAAGACCCCAACGGGTACCACTCATCTCCACTTCAAATAGGAAAAACAGGCTACAATTTGCAAGAGCTCGCCAAAATTGGACAGTTGAAGCCTGGAAAAATGTTGCCTGGTCTGATGAGTCTCGATTTCTGTGGAGACATTCAGATGGTAGAGTGAGAATTTGGCATAAACAGAATGAGAACATGGACTAAATAACACAGCACTAAATAAAAAATGACACGCATTTTGTATTATTTCTCTTATATAGTTACAATAGTTAACATTTTGGAGATTCTGCAAGGTGTAAACTTTTGGCCATACAGTAGCCCTATATATACACACAGTTCTGTTCATAAGTTTGTGTATATATATATGACAATAAATCCAGTATTAATTCAATTCCGACACAAATGACTACGGGTGTACTCACACTTGGCGATCTGAACTGTGCCTGAGCACGTTTGACCCCAAAAGTCTAGTGTTTGACTAGTGTGATCTCACCATACCCCAAGTGTGATTATACGCCCTGACTAACCGAACTGATTGGCCAAACAGGCAACATGTAACAAAATATTGTCCGATTTAATAGACTGGCCTACTTAGCCTGACTTATTAATGTGAATGTAGGTACTTACTGCAATGTGAAAAAGTTTGTCTTTGTCAGAGGGAGTTGAGAATTCAGTCCTAACATTGAAGAGTCTGTTCATTAAAGCATGTCTCACTGAGAGCTTTCAGGATTGACAGCGCTTGTTGCCAGAACAGCCAAATGGTGCAAGGATATTCTGACATCCACCATCATCCCATCTAAATCAAAAACAAGAATGGTTTCATCTCACAAATTGAACTTTTTTTGAGTTAAGGTCACCCCAGCCTTTTAAGAGTGATTGCAGGACTAAATATTTTGTATAAAGAGATCACATCTGTCTGGCTGTGTACCACTGGATTCTAAACAAATATGTTGGTTTATGTAAACATCATAAATATCAACATTATTTATTTGTATATGAAGAGTTCAGATGCAAAAGCCTCTAAGTGCCATTTGAAATTTTCTTCTAGAATGATCATTTTTATCAAGCTTGTATATTTTAGTTAATTACTTTTACTTAAATGGGGATGAAGATTACCTAATGAATTGTCATTTAAGTGAAATTACTGAATTTAAATATACCAGCTTGATAAAAATGATCATTCTAGAAGAACATTTCAAATGGCACTTAGAGGCTTTTGCATCTGAACTCTTCATATATAGATATATATTTATTTCTGATTGAAGAGATTAAAAGGCCACTTTACTCCATCATGGAACACCTGTTGCAGAACGGATCTTAGTCTGAAACATCCTGTTAACAAATCCTTATTTTGTATACAAAATTGTGTATAGCTATATATTCATGTCACTTAAATACATTTGTTTTAGCAAATGAAGGTTTAGCGTTTTCAAATGTAACTGAGTCATCTGTGGGTCAAACCACACAGAGTGGCAAGAGGGTGAGTTTTTGCTCACTCACATGACAATTTTCAGAAGCTCTTGAAAGGCCAAACCAGGTAGGTGTTATAAATTCAGAGATGCACCATTTATTCATTTTGCCTAAACAGAGAAAACAAACCCCTTCAAAAAGAGTCACAAAAAATATAAAATGCTGATATTTTTACTAAAGCAGCACAAACAACAGCGCATATTAACAACCAAACTCAACACACAATAAACATTTCAGCAGTCAAAAGTGCTTTATAATCATCTTGATGATAGCAACTTTTACTTTATTACAAGATGTTCTATTAGCATTACGAGGCAGACATAAAGGCAAAATAGTAAACAGGAGGATTTAGCCCACAGTCTAAGAAAGCATGCAGGATCTAAACTTTAGGACAGGAATGAATGATTGGACTTTGTATTCCCTGATTATTCCCTACCAAAGACATAAAACGGATGAGAGTAAAAAATACAACGGTCAACAGTGTAACTCAGCATTTGGATCTGTGAGTGACTTACACTTCGCTGTCCTTGGACTTCATGAAGTCTACACCAGCCTTGAAGAGAAGTCTGACTAAATAATAATAATAACATAAGACAGTCAGTGTAAAGGAATGAAGAGACAAAAAATAATCTATTTTAATTCTTCTTAAAATCACATGTCCAAATGTCAACTTTTGTACATTAACCTATAATCAATACAAATAATCTGTTAAAAAGCAGGATGTAGTGACCTTGATTTATGACACTGTTTTAAAAAGAGGGGTAAAGGGTATTTCCAAGGGCTGATTTTAAATATATTTTTGTTTCTTTAAAATATCATTTTTATAACATTTGTTATTTCTGATTTGAAACCGCTACTAATAACATAATTTTATTGACATTAAACCTAGAGTTTACCATGGCAACTTGAGTGACATTTCTGCAGAAATGAGGGAGGTATGGAGACAGTCTTTTTTCGGATGGCATCATAGTTGGACGGCACTCCGTCAAGTCAGTAGACTCCCTCCCCCTGCCATAGATTTGCTCTGTAATTCATATGGGTAGACTGCCTCTACTCATAAGCGTCTCACCCTACCTCCCGTCAAACTAAGTCGCTCTTTCGTCTCCCACTTAGCAGTGACAGCCAACCTCCAATGTGCTCAGTCAGTGGCTATCGAGAGCGGTCGTTATTGCACCTGCTTCGGTAGTGGTCGTTGGGTAGCATCCGGCACGCGCGAGAATACCCCGTGAGTGACTAAACTTTAGAGATCCGAAAGAGATCATTTAACGTCATGGACGTAAGGCTGCATCTGAAGCAAATTGCTTGTCTGTGTTTTATCAACCTGCTTCTGACGCCTTGTGGATTAGCCTGCGGTCCTGGTAGAGGGTATGGAAACCGAAGACACCCAAAGAAATTAACCCCGTTGGCTTACAAGCAGTTCATTCCCAACGTCGCTGAAAAAACGCTCGGGGCCAGCGGCAAACACGAAGGCAAAATCACAAAGGATTCAGAGAGATTTAATGAGCTGATTCCGAATTATAATCCCGATATCATCTTTAAAGACGAGGAAAATACAAACGCGGACAGACTGATGACCAAGGTATGGACTCATGCGTGCGTAATTACCCAGACGCACACTATCATAAATAATGCATCTCTAGTTTGGCCGTTAAAAAAAAAAAAATCATTTCAGATATGGCTTTATGAAGATTGTAAAAAAAAAAACAAAAAAAAAAAAAAACATTGATGTTGCATTATGGGCTCTTGTGTTCTTTAACGCACCAGAACAGAGCAGGGATGTTTTATTGCATAACTAGAGAATAAAACTTATTGGTGTAATTCTAATAAGTTGTTATATTTCATCAGGCTGTACAAATTTGTAACATAACCTTTATTTAGGATTCCCAGCACTTTGACATTGCGCGGTAAAACTAAAACTTTAACTGTTGATAATCCGACATATAGCCTAGTGCGCTATAACATTTTCACCATGCAGGCAGCTGGGCTTAAGTGATGTACTTTTAAGTAGTGTTGTACTTTGATTTACATATAGCCTACATATATATATATATATATATATATATATATATATATATATAATATATATATATTAAATGTAGGCTAATTGAATTAAAAATGACTATTCGCTGTCCTGAAAATTTGCATGATAGTCTATCTTTGACATTGGAGCAAACTGAGCACCGTTGGATAATTTAGTGTTAGTGGTGAAATGCATTTGCTGAGCATAGCCTACGTTTTTTTTCTCCTAATCAAGAAGGCTTCTGAAAGTTAATAACATAATTAAATACACGAAACACCCCGCCTCCACACATAGTAAGCATTGCGTAATATTTTTTTTTCCCTCTGGTCTGCCCGATCAATTAATTCGTTCCCCCAAGATCACTTCTGCGTGTCTGTTTATGAATACATCTCATGACCTGCTTTTATTGTCTTCTTAAGAAAATGTGGGTCAGACGTGATCTTTGTCACTGATGTTGCGCGTAGTAGGCTATTGGATAATACCGGCTCCCGTGGCGAGCGCGTTTTGTTGCCATTCACTCAGCCGGTGCACTGCTTTCTCTGATTAAAATGTTTTAGGATAATTACTTGAAGCCAATTACAAAACGTTTTCTCTCGCAATCTCTAGCATCAAAGTAAGCAACTTGCCCCAGTACAAAAATGCACGTCCACAATGCCATGGAAGAATCAGCATTTAAGCAATTCATTGGTGGCGCAACGTCTCTGTATTACTGCTGCACATGCTGAGAGAAAGAACTTGAATTTTCAGCTCTATTTACTCCTCTCGGTTATCGATCGGTCGGTCTAGAGTCTGCGCTTTTGACCTATGGCAATAAACGATCTCTCCATCGCACAAACTGATGTCAACTGTGGCTGACTGGCAGTTATTTAAATCAACCCAATTCTGAAATGATTGCATCAATTGACCAGTAATTCCTTTTTAGATGTATATTTAGCATTTTGCAAGAACATTTGTTTTAAACACACAGAAACAATATAAAGGTCACTGTATAGTCGTATGCATAGCCTACGAAAAACAAACTTTTTTGGATAAGTTGCAGTGATGACTTGAAGAGGAGAACCGAAAGACCCTTTTGGGCATACTTTTTATTTATTTATATTTTTACCTCTAAATATTCAGTAAATCTTCTGACACTTTAAAAGGGTAGGCTATATGTATTGTGATTGACAACCTTCCTCTCTCACTCATTCAGCGCTGTAAGGACAAGTTAAATTCGTTGGCGATATCCGTTATGAACCAGTGGCCGGGCGTGAAACTGCGCGTCACTGAAGGCTGGGATGAGGATGGTCACCATTCCGAAGAATCTTTGCACTACGAGGGACGCGCAGTGGACATAACTACCTCAGACAGGGATAAAAGCAAGTATGGGATGCTATCTAGGCTTGCAGTGGAGGCAGGATTCGACTGGGTCTATTACGAATCTAAAGCCCACATACACTGTTCCGTCAAAGCAGGTGAGAACAATGTTACTTTTGGCCTAGCTGACATAATACATGTAGCTTATGCTACATAGATGCATAATTTAAATATATCAGTCTATTTATGTGCATTCATATAATTTTAGAAACATATCCAAGAACTTCAGCAAATAGCCTGAAAAGATAGGCTTGAGGCATCCTTTGGGGTTCATCAGATTGCCACATTGGATAACCTATTGGCACTGTTAGTCTAGAATGTAGTTTCCAAATATTGAGATCTTATATAAAAAATCTTTTTTTTTTTCATTTTACAGGGTAATAATTTGTGAAATAATCATTGTTAACACATCAATACATATTTTTTTTCTAACCAAGAGCAGCTGAAATAACAAATATAATGACAAACTTATAAAACTTATAAGAAGTGTTAAATGCTGCTAATTATGTAGTTTACTGCGCGTTGGGATTTCTGCACCTGTGTAAACAGTTATACAAAACTAAAGGGATCAAGGAAAAGCAAAGTCTGTAGGCTCAATTTAAATGACAATGTCGGATCACTTTTGTGTTAATTCAGGAGCCAGAATCACCAGACAGCGTTTCAACCCTTGCAGCTTTAGTCTACACGTGTTTGGATTTGTTTCCATATCCCCAGCACCATGTCAATCCATTTTTTTTTAAAAGCTTTACAAATATACATTCCTAAATGGTCTATTTTTACTTTTATCGCAGAAAATTCGGTCGCTGCTAAATCAGGGGGATGTTTTCCTGGAACGGGTACAGTGACACTTGCAGACGGGAGGAGGAAACGTATCAGAGATCTTAAAGTGGGCGACCGGGTTTTAGCATCAGACGAGAGAGGAAATGTCTTATTTAGCGAATTCATTATGTTCATGGACCACGATCCGAAAACGAAAAGACAATTCGTCGTCATCGAGACGTCAGAGCCTTTTACAAAGCTGACCCTCACAGCCGCGCACCTTGTCTTCATCGGGAACGCTTCAGCTAGTTTGGGTATTACAGCAACATTTGCAAGCAACGTGAAGCCCGGAGATAACGTTTTGGTGTCGGATGGCACAAGCAGGACCCTCAAGAGCGTTACCGTAAAGAGGATTTACAATGAAGAGCACGAGGGCTCTTACGCGCCAGTTACAACTCACGGAACTATAATAGTGAATCGGGTGCTGGCTTCGTGCTACGCGGTTATTGAGAATCACACATTGGCACATTGGGCTTTTGTACCGGTCAGGTTAAGTCACAAGCTGATGACGTGGCTTTTTCCGGCTCGTGATTCAAACGTCACTTTTCAGGAGGACGGCATCCACTGGTACTCAAATATGCTGTTTCACATCGGATCTTGGCTGCTGGACAGAGACTCTTTCCATCCTCTCGGGATTTCACATTTAAGCTGAGACTGCAGCTATACAGTGTTTCACTACGTGGACATCAGACTATATGTAGCCTATCTTTATTTTCTGTAAGAAAAGCCTTAAAGTGTTCACTCAATAATTTATTTGTATTGGATTATCTGTTTCTGAAAACGTAGGCTACACGCCGTTTCAAGCATGTGACCGTTTTTTGTGCATTTTGTGAAACATAAAAGAGAGTATAGGATTTAAGAGAAAGCATTGAAATTACAGGACTGTAACGTTACAGTGAGTGTGCAACCGACTGTTCTGTTATATTGGATAGGCTAAGCATAGGATGGCGCTCAAAATTATATTTTTATACACAGATTTGTATATTATTAGATTTTTGAGGGATCTAAAAGTATTTACAGAATCATATTTCGTTATTTGAAATAGTGCCAAGTACGAAAGCGCGGTAAATTTAAACAGTTGCGATGTATCAACGAACTGTTCATGCCATTATGTCATGTGTCATTGTTTTTGTGTAGCCTATTCACTACACTAACAGTTTTTTGTTTAAATGTACATTTCTTGACAAAAGTACTCAAAATAAATTCATGGTACGAAGTGTAAATTATTCAATGACCTTCAGAGCTTGACTTAATTTGGGGGTTAAAATGTCTTTTTGAGAAAAAGTTAGCTTACCATCAAATAGGCCATTTTAAAGGTATTTTAAACAACTAAAACTAAAAATGCTAATATTTGTGTTATTTTCTTGAAATACTATAAAGTGATAACGGAAACCGCTCGAGCAGCCTTCGGTTGCTAGGTTACCCCTGGTGGGAGCGCGACTTTAGTTAACCCCGTTGGCTTGCATATTTAACCTCACAATTCGCTCTGCGTCTGCATTTTTTCACTTTTAAATGTTTTAGGAATTGAAAAGACAAACTTTAAATTTGGATTAGACGTAACCTATGTTTTATTTTTCCACTGACTAATCTATTTTTTTGTTTGTTTGTTTACTTGAGGGGTTCAATAAAAAATCGCCGATGTTGCAGCAAGACTTTCGACAACATTTAGGAAGTAGCCTAACGTTTGGCCTATTGTGTCTATTAATGTCTTAAAGTAAAACCCAGATCAACAATTTCCCAGCGTTAGAGTAATTTAGTCACCACTCTGATAACCAATCTACAAAATATGCATTTTACACATGATGCTTGAAACGTCCACAGTAAGAGACGAGTATGGTGTGTGTAAGGCTTATGTAGTGCGACATCTACTGGGTCTTTACGGCTCTGACACACTGCTCCAAGTTTCCCCATGACAAGCAACATCAGCGCATATTTTCTCGAACAACGGATGAAGTTTATCTGAAATGTTTTGAAACATTGTATTTGAAACGTTCTTTTTAATATTAAAGTCACCACCCGACATACTGACATAAGCTTACACTCTTAAAAAGAAAGGATCCAAAAAGAAGTTTTGTAGGGAAGCCATTTTTGGTTTCCCAGAGAACCTTACAGTGAATAGTTCTTAAAACAATTTGTTTTCCTTTGTGTAAAACATGCTTATCTAAAGAACCTCCACTATAAATACCCTTTTGTGAAAAGGTTCAGTGGATGTGCCAATAACCATTCTTTTTAAGAGTACTCCTTTGGTTTGGTCAAGTTTGCATATTGAATGAAAAAGCCAACAAGATAGATACATTAACCACTATGCAGATCTGAAGATAAAAGAACACCTTGTAAATTACAAGAATAAAGCAGTTAATTGACATGTTAATCCCTGTGTGACCTTTGACATGATTGTTAGTGGATTTCCATGGCAGTTAGCCTGACAGATGTACCAAATATATGCCTTTAAAACAAAATCAATAATTTTGAAGGCTCCCTGGTATAGTAAAATCAAGCTCAACATGACCGAGACATATTCCCAAAAAGTCCTGGACGGTCTTGGAAGAAATATCAAGAAGCCATGAGACCTTTTCAGTCTATAAAATAGCCACAAAAAGGCTTAGAAAAAAAAACACCACCACTGTTTCAACTGCACATATTGGTAAATTTCTGATAACATGCAAGGCATTCTGTAGACGGGAATGCGGATGATTCAAAGGCCATTCAACTCGTTATTATACAAGAGCTTATGTAGAGATGTGGAAAGGCTCATTGACGTAAAGCTCTAAAATAATTGAAAGCAATAAAGCTCAACTTTGGCACAAGTTCAAGCAGTGACTAGCTCAATAACACTGCCCACCTGAGTCAGTTAATCCATCAGACTTCAATCAGACACCAGGCACAAAACCTGTGATGAATGATGTAGACAGGCTGGGAGATACACTGGTATGCTGATCTTTTTCCCCCTCAACATTTTAGTCAAACACAACATTGGTGGTAGTGGTGGGGAGGGGGACTCAAATTGCTTAATGAGAAAAGTAAGTAACATTTAAAGAGTGTTGCGACAAGGATTGAAATTCCACTCACATTCAGCTTTTGAGGAGGGAGCGGTGTTGACTCTGTGTGGTTGAGACTTGCTGGAAGACACAAAAGGAGCTGCGTGGAGACAGAGGGATGACCTTGGGCCCGGCCCAGGTACAAAAGCACTGCTAAAGGAACATTCCAGGGGACCAGGAAAACAAACTAGCCCCTAATCCTCCCTCTATCCCACAGTCTGCTGGATTAGAGCAGGGCCACTCTCTGCAAATGTTGACATTCCCTAAGACAAGACGTTAAAGTCTTGGAAAATATTTCAGAATGCAACATCTGTTGCAAGCAAAAGACGGAGCACAATAGATGAGGCAGTCTTGTTGTATCTAAGAAGCAGTGAACTTCAAATGGTCTTTCAATGGTCTGTGTGTTTTCAGATGGAAGGTATTCATTCGTTCAATCTTTTTTTGTGAAGTTAAATCAATTCAACAGACAATTCAACAAACAAGAATTTAGCCTACAACTTTTCAAACCACAATCGCCTAAGAAATAATATATTAATACACAGAGCATGAAGCTCATCAAACATAACCATTAAAACAATCTAAACTAATTATGAACAGCCTGCTTGAATATATTTAGAGAAGTTATAAACAAAATTTCAACTTTAATATCACATTTTAAACTTCTTAAAAGATCTTTAATACTTTAATATCACATTTTAAACTAATTAAAAGATTAAACTGCTTAAAAAATAAAGCACAACTGATTAATAGGCTGAAAAAATATCAATCAATTTGGCCACTAGATGGTGCTAGACAGCTTCATGAGTCAAACCATGTGGCATAGGCAGGCATTTATCAGAAAGATTAAAAAAAAAAAAAAAAAAAAAAAACATTTGATTTTCAATTGTTGGGTCCTGATCACATAAAACTATTGTTTTTTCAAATTGGCGGCTGATATTATCTCACCACCATTGATATTTTTCTTCAATCTTTCCCTAACAACCAGTCTGCATTCCTGTTTCCTTTGTTGAAAGGGGGTGACTCTACTTTTTTTTTTTCATTAGAGAACAACTGACACAGTATCTACATGTTCATAAACTTTTTTTCTATCAACCAATCAGGATTTCTTAAAAAAACCAAAAAAAAACAAAAAACAAAACTGCACCATTACGGCTGCTCCTAAAGTTTTAAATGATCTTGTGGGGTCCCTAGATGAAAAACACCACTGTGCCTGTCTCAAATACAGTGCTTTAGTTAATATTGTTGGGGGAAAATAGAAAACAGGTGTTTTATCATTACTGGCAGTTTTGAACAGGCTATTCTCTCCATCATAATGTGCCTTTGTTTTTTTAGGTCATTTTCATCTGCAATTTCTACAGACACTTGACTAAATTTTATAACATTTATGAAGAATAATGCATAAGTAAGAGTGACTGCACAAACGTTCCTCAATATAACTGTTTCTTAAATGTTCTGCTAAATTAAATGAAAAGCCACCCAGGACCATGCAAGTAGTGTTTGTTTTAATGGAAACCAAGGAGCAAAAATGTAAACAACTGTCAAACCCCTGTCTTCAACAATCACAAAAAAGGCAAATATCACATCCTAACAAAAATGTTGTAACAAAAAACTGGGAGAACACTGAAAATATTCTACTCAGCATGTTGGATGGAGTTGGTGTCCGAGAGATTCAGCGGTTCAGTCTAACTATGAAGTTGACACAGGTTTGATCAGTAACAGGCTCTGTTCTCACACCGGAACTTAAGGGTCTATAATATCCGAGACAAAAAGAGGGGAAAAAAAAGAGCATCATGGTATATGGTACCCAATACCACATAAACAAATATGATTGAAACGTGAACATGCTGGGAAACTAATATGGAGTCTACTTACATGAAAGCACTGCGTTCGTTTCCCCCGACAGCCACCTGTGTCAAAAGAAGGTTATAAAGGTCAGATCAAAGGTATGACCCCTGTGGGACACTCATTAAAAAGTAATGATGTTGGGCTGGCGCCCATTATCCCCTTCCAGTAGTGTACTCTGTCCATTTTTATAGGGTGACAGTGGGCCTGCTGCTTGTCAGGGTCAGTGGTGTTGTTGTAATGCTTGTGACATCATAAAACCGCCAGCTCATTAGAAGCCACTGAGAATCAATGTTGCATGTAATAGCCGCTCGTTTTAACATTCCAGGTAGCCGTTTGGTCACTGCAGGACGCTGTGGGTGGTATAGATCTTAACATCAAGCAAATACTTGAAAACGACTTTAGTGTAGATCCCATCCTGTCACCACGGATGTTGCTAAATGAATCACGCACAGATTGTTTCATTGATCACATCTACAATGGATTCAGTGAATGCTATGCATATGAATGTATAGGCAACTGTAATGAATATATAGGCTACTCTAAAACTGAAATTTTAGTTGATTTTTCAAAAGAAATGAATACTTTCATTTTAGAAAGGATGGATTAAATTGATCAAGAGACAGCAGAGACTTTGATAATGTTAAGAAAGATTTCCATTTCAAATAAATATTCTTTTGAATTTTCTATTTATCAATGATTCAAAATATATATCATATATAATGTATAATGCATATCATATATATATATATATATATAAGTGTTTTCAACACTGATAATAAGAAATATTTCTTGAGTACATTAATAAGCATATTAAAAATGTATAAAAATAGAAAAAATATATTTTGTAAACTATTATTTCACAGTATTCCTGTTTTTACTGTATTTTCAATCAAATACATGCAATGCAGCTGAAAGTTTTTTTTTTTTCAAAAGTGCCATTCTGAAATTTTCAGTCACTTTCTCCCTCTGAGAAATCTCTGAAAAGTACAATAAGCAAACAATTCGAAATAATTGTTTCAAAGTAACTCATCAAATACTAACATCCATAAAATATAAGAAGTATAACTAATAGCATAGCAAATTGTCCCTCTTGACCTTTCTGTATTCAGCCTTACCTAAACCTCAACAAGTCGACTAAGACTGCCCTCTAGCGGAGCTTTATGAAATTAAGATACGCAGCACCGGGAACTGCAATATGCCTTCATTTCTTACCAAGACTATTCCAGTCACAAGTGGAAAAAAAAAAACAACAAAACATTATGAACACTAATCCCAGTAATGATAGGATTACCATTTTATGTAATAACACCATGATAAGTGATTAATCGCAATTTCTACTTTCACTCAAAACTAATTTCTTAATCCTCATTTTATAATTATATTTTTATTTAATTAAATGAACAGCCAAGTAGTTTATCAGCTAGCCAAATATAATGCATAGTGACAGCCACAAGGGGGGAAAATGGTTTAATCTGGAAGAAAGAAAACACACCTACTCACATACAAAACACATAATATGAAAGCTGTGATTCAGATGACTGCCATGCAAGCATTGCTCAAGGCAGTGTGCTATGA